AACCTTCAGGATAATTACTAAAATCATAGAGGTCTGCATCCTCAACCATATCAGCATAGACGTCCTCGGTCTCTATTTCAATAATTAGTGAATCTGTATCAGTATAACATAATTTAGCACGATTCCCATACTTATGCTTGATATAGTTATACCAGAAATCATATATATAATACTTACTAAGATCTAAAATCGATGCTCTGACATAGATTTGCTTATTTAGTACAACATTCATTTGCTTTCGGTGTACTGCTATAAGATTACTTCCATGAAATATTTTACGACCAACTAGTGCCAGATCTGCCAACATTTTGTGAAATCGATGTTCCTCTCCTATTGGTCATACTAAATCTACCCATGTGCGATGCTGGACATCTTCCATAGTTTTTCCAAATACAGCATTGTTCATTAATTTCTATAAATCTTTTTCGAAGGCATTCTTGGCATCGTGACGTCATATAGTATTTGCTGTAATATATAGTTTGAGCCAGGGAGACTGATCAAATTCTAGTACTCGATAAATATGCTCGAGCTCCATTCCTAGTTCGAGACATTGCTGAAGATTTCAGTAATGGATAATATAGCGGTCTTTAGTCTCTAATGTTGCGACCAATTTTTCTGTCTCAGCAAATTTACCCCCACTCAGCTTATTTATTAAATCATTATTTTAATGAGGGCCAAGCTCTTGACGCTTGACTATTCGACGTTCTGGACAGAGTGAATACTCAGTATGTGTTGGATGGAGCTTATCTGGATATCTTAATTTTACTTTCCAAGCATTTCCTCGTTTTGCAGTTAGTGAAATAGAACGAATATTGGGCAAATTATTTAGGTCTAGCCATCGGAATTTTCCTGTCAATAAATATTGTGACATAGCCCATCCGTATAAATTATTAGCGTCTAAATATAGGAGCCATTTATTTGCTTTATGTTTATTATAGCCTTTCATTCCGGGAAAATTTGCTTTTGCTAAATGTCGTGAAGCCATAGAATTTCCACCTCACATTCAGCGTTAGACGAATTCGTGCATATCTTCTTAACCTTTATGGAATAATTCGAGCTTGACCTTAGTCATCTTTTTTGCTATGTCAAATGCGAATGATGGTAATGTAATATAGTTCAAAGGATCTAATCCGGATATTTCTTTCATTGTCGTTCAGAATCGCTGAATTGAGTCCGCTAATATTAAAACATCAGTTCTAAGATATAAATCATGATAG